ACACGCCACACTCCTCAGGTCATCAGGACACGTTTCCCAAATGGTCTGTTTAAACTGCTAAGTTTCCAACATGTTCTCTTCTTGTACCAGTTTTTCAGATAGGATCGGATCTTCCTTTTACGAACAAGCTGTCCTTTAATACACCAGCCAAGACTGGCTGCGTAGAGATAACGGTCCAGCTTTTGGACCCACAAAGTCCACCTTAGGAGTTACGAGCTGTAAGTTTCTCAGGCAGGACCCAATGGGTTCACCTCTATTTTTCTTCTTTATTTCTTTTTTACTTTTATTTTTCTTACTGAACCAAAAAAAGAAGAAGAAAAACTTGGTTAGATTTACGAAAAGATCACAGTTTGGGGTAAACAAAAGTAACACTGTGGGATAAAATGACCAATTTATAGTAGTGGCCCTCTCAGTTATGCCGTAGCCTGCAGATTCAGGTCACAGATGCCAAACGACACCCGGTGAGTTAATGAGCCACACCGAACAGGCTGAAATTTCCCATCTTCCCCTCTGACAGGTCAGTGCCCCTGCTGCCCCAGTTCACTGCCTGTTCTTTAAGCTCCTCCATCACCTCCAACATTTCAGTGCCCAGATGCCAAATTTTAAATCTATTCTGCTGCTGTGTTCAATCATTTCCAATGTGAGTTTAACTGTGTGAGACTCCCAAAGTACCGTAAAAACTCAAAAAACATTTTAAACTTGTGATGATGTCAGGTGAAGACTCAGCAAAGTTGATAACTTATCAGGACACGAGCGCGTACTGACGAGTAAAGACAAAGCTCTGATCAGCTTAATACAGCAAAGAGTGCTTCACTATGGCTTCCCTCAGCATATCATAGCAAAACTGCAATGAGGACGAGGTCAAAGGGACGGGTGTACAGTGTACCCTCTCAGCTGTTTGGTCTTTGAATAACACGTTCTAATTAAACCAGCTGCAAACAAACATATGTCAGACATTGGAGTCATTAAATCAACAGATCTGGACTGAATTTCCTCCAAACTGTAATCAACCCTGATTAAATTTCCAACTGTTGTTCAGCAGTTTGTCACATAAATTTGTTTTCACTTAAACTTTAACGACAATCTCTCCGGTTGTTTGTGAGACACTTTACTTCAGATCACATGGACTGGACGGATTTACATTTTTTTCTAGTCTTAATGACCATTCAAAGGACCTCGGACTACGAGCCGCATGTAACCACACACAGAGCGCTTTTTTCAATACACTTGATCTATTTCACATCCACGGCCACTTCAGAATCACAGATTAACCCATAATATCATAAGAAAAACTTTATTTACTCCAGATTTAAGAAATTAATTTGTTAACAAATGCTGCAAAGATGATAAAATGAAAAAATTATTAATGATAACAATAATATCTGACAGATCTGGCCTCTCTGCCAGACACATGTATTATGTTAGAGGGTGAGACCATCGCTAACAGTCTCATCAGTGACCTCCTCCCCACCACCGCTTCAGAAGTGTCCAGTTTGGAGCCAAAAACTGCAAATTTCACAGCACTCATCACAACTAAGTGATAGAAAATCAAAAAATTTGCAGCATGTTGCAGGATCTCAGTTTCCTTTGGAAACAGAGCCTGTAACATATATGTCTTGAGTATCCAGAATGAACCAACTACATACAGTCAGGGTTCAAACCAGGAGCTTTCTGATCTCACTAGAGGAAAACAATGATCTCAAGAGTCATTTTGGTTTATCCTCTGACTGAAATCATTTAAATTACTGTTGATTGTCTGGATCAAAGTGAGAAACAAGCTAATAGACAGGAAGATATTACCAATCATGGCTGTGAGCATGGCTGAGAGGAATAACACACACACAACCTTTAGAAAGCAGTGAATGGAGCTGTTATGTGCCCTGCTAATGAGCTACGTTTTCCTTCAATAGCCTAAAACAGGAAGAAATCCACGCACATCCTCACCATGTAGTGTCCAAATGTGACCGACCTACTAAAAAGATTAGTTTCTGTAAACAAGTGAGCTTAGATGACAAATAGCACCGAGCTAACAGTTTACTAATCAGCTCCAAGCTTCCTTAAAAAGTAGCTGATGAATCCAATACTAATGGTACTTAACACTAAATCACTTAAACTCTGCATGTGAGCTGCACAAACGAGCCCCTTAAACCATCATCCACCAAAACTCTGTTATGCAGATTTATTGGCGGATCCAAGTGGCAGTGAGAAAATAATGCTTTGACTGTTTTTTTAGGGTTATAGGACTTTCATTAACCAGAGATTAAACTATATTGCCAAAGGTTTTCACTCACGCATCCAAATCATTGATTTCAGGTGTTTCAATCACTTCAAGTGCATGAAATCAAGCACCTAGGCATGCAGACTGCTACTACAAACATTTCTGAAAGTATGGCTCACTCTCAGGAGCTCAGTGGTGGTACTGTGACAGGATGCCAGTAGGAACAGTTTGGGAATGCCCCATTCCTGGTAAAAGATAGCTGCACACCAGTGCACGAAGCAAGTCCCAGAAACACATGGATGAGCGAGTGGTGTGGAAGAACTTGACTGGCCGGCAGAGTCCTGACTTCAACCCAACACTGTACCTTTGAGATGAATCACTGAGACTGTGAGCCACGTGTTCTCATCCAAAATCAGTGTTTGACCTCACAGATGTGCGTATAGAAGAATGGTTAAAAATTCCCATAAACACTCCTAACCCTTGTGGAAAGACTTCCCAGAAGACCTGAAACTGTTATAGCTGTAAAGGATGGGCCAACATCATATTAAACCCTATAGATTAAGGACGAGATGTCACGCAAGTTCAGAAAATACTTTTGGCAACATAGCCTGTGATATTCTGTGATATCAGCAAACTGCACAGTCATCTGACCCACATTTCCAGAGAGGCAGACAAAATCTCTGATCTATCGCTTCTAGTCTGCAAAGTGTTCAAATTGTTTCTATATCCGATAATTAAATCCAATTTGGCTGCAACATCTCCACACTTGGGGAAACTCGAGGGGCTTCCAGCTTATAGTGTCAGCACTAGGAGAGTGGGGATCACTTGGGGGCTGCCCGTTGCCACAGTTATTTGACTCGCTAACAGAAGCCTCTGGATCAGCTTAACACAGGCCTGCAGGGCCATCAAATCCTTGCGAACACGTGGGACTGATGCATGATGTCAATTTCACCGCCTGTTTAGTGTGCGTGTCTGCGTGAGGGAGCAGCAAACAGAGAAGAGGGAGATGTTGTGTGTAACGGCATAAAAAGTGAGAGTAAGGACAAAGAGAGAGAGTTAGGATTCAGAGCTCGTGAACAGATGGAGGCAGATTTTTGCTGTCCGCAGGTCGGCCTCTGCCGGTCACAGAACAGTCAGATTTACTTTGTCTGTCACAAACAGATGGCATTTTAGTACAAAACCACAGAAACACTGCCAGCACATGGAATAAGTGCTGCTGATGTTAGTTATCTGACCACAGTTATGCAACACAGCAGAAGGTTTAGAAAGTCTTTTTCTTTGAAAGATTACTGCAAGGGCATGCACATGCATTGTCATGTTGGGTTTAAAAGTCACAAAGCTTCAAGGCTAAGAGTGTCATTAAAACATTATGAATAGCACAAGTTTCTACCTCAGAAACATTTAAACTAATGTTAAATTACACTCAGGATGATTCACATCCTTCTGGCATCTGAACCTGAACTATTATCACTGAAAAGTTTCAGAGGGGAAAAGGAACAATTGCTCTGTATCAAAGCGAACCGTTTACAAACTGCAGCAGGAATAAAGATTGATGGTAAAACGGGCCGATATTCAGGCTCTTAGTGGTTCTGTGGTGGAGGAGCATTGTCTGCTGACATTTTTCTGTGTCGGTCAAACCTCATTTGTCTGCCTGGACGTGTGTTGAGTGTTTTTGTCTGTCTGTCATCAGTCTGATTAACCCTGAGATGCAGCAAGTCCCTGATAGTGTATAAGCATCTGCAACATGACAGTGTTTTAGCCCAAAAACTCATCTTTAATTGCTATCTGACATCAGAGTCTCTGCTCCAGTATGCTGTCAGCTTTAAGTGACTGCTCTGTCATGCCTGCACTTTTAATCAGCAGTCCTCACTGAGTGGCTAACGTTATTAAGCTCCAGTCAGACCTGCTCATTCAGCTGCTCCCTGCATCCCCTTTTTTCTATTTTCCATTCCTTGGCTTTTCTACCCAGAGCCCTCAAGTCATTACAACAGCCATGCAACGCGACGTTCATCTTGAGATCAGTTCCTGGTGCTGAACTGCCTCATCCAACTATTTTGCAACCAGTTATAGTTTTCATCTCCTGTTTAATAGTTTAAGACAATTATACTGTTTGTTTTGTGTTCCATGCAAGAGATATTTCAGAGGTCTGATATATGATCAAAGTCATGGCAGCCGACTGTGAGACACCTTTATCACTGATCCAAAAACACAAAAAGATCACCATCACAGGCCCTGTTCTTCACCTTCATGTCCAAGTTAATTATTTCCTCTCATACATGGATACAGTGATGTTAAATAATGAGGTCAGTGTATGTGCAGCTAAATACTCAGTTTCAGACAGTCTGTTTTCTGCTCTTAGCAACCTAGAGAGAGTAAATATGGTCGCTTGCTATTCAAACCTCTTGTTTGATATGGGTGGCCAATCAGAAGAAAGATGGTCCAAACAGAGGCAGATAGCCTATCCTAGAATGGATTATTTTGAAATGTACAACTATTCTAACAGAGGAAAGAATAAAAATATGGAGCTATGAGCTTAATAGGATGAGAAGGCTGACAGGCTTAGCACAAAGACAGTAAAACCCTCAAAATTAAGAAACTTAGACAATAAAGAAAAACCAAACACCTGCTCTCAGCAGGTTCAGCTCCACTAACATTGGAGAGATCCCAGTTGGCTGTTTGCAGTGTTTACACTAAGCTTGGCTAACAGGCTGCTAAATCATGTCTATTATAATTCTTGCTTTCGCAGTAAGACTGGATTTTCTTTTCTGTTTCCTCCTGTTAGGTTCCTGTTTCTGGGTGGCAGTGCTCGATGGTCGTGTGGTGGGCATCGTGGCGGCGCAGGGCCACGAGGACGAGAACACGGTTGAGCTGCGGCGGATGTCGGTGGACTCTCGCTACCGCGGCAAAGGCATCGCAAAGGCGCTGGGTCGTCGCGTCCTGGAGTACGCAATGCGCAACAACTACGCCGGCGTGGTCCTCGGCACGACGGCCGTGAAGCTGGCCGCCCACAAGCTGTACGAGTCGCTGGGTTTCCGCAGAACGGGCCAGAGCGAAGACTACAGGCTACCCGGGATGAGCCGCTCGCCGCTGGAGAGGCTCTTCTTCCAGATCCGCCATACCCGCTATCGCCTGCAGCTTCGTGAGGAGTGAGAGGTGACAGGGAGAGGGAGAGCTGGAGAGCTGGAGATGGAGAAAGAGAGGGACAGAGAGAGAGAGAGCAACGACCCTCCTTCACCTGAGAGCCCTGACCACGTCCTCTCCTCTGACAGCTTTTATTTATTTTGTGTCATTAGTGATAACTTTGAGTATGACTTAACACTTCTACTATTTCACCCTTAAGTCACTAACGTTTTTACTACTATTATGCTTTTTTTTTGTTGATTTTTGTATTATACTTTGACATTTTAAAGAAGAGTTTGTTTCTTTTATTAATAATCTTTTATTTTTTGTATCTTTAATCCTTCCTCTCACCTGCGGGAGAGAAAAATTGGCTTTTTTCAGAAGACATCTAACTGGCACCCCCATCTCAGCACCCTCCCCAGCCCCTTTGGCATCACGAAAATGTGATTTTGATCAACATTCCCTTTCATTTATATTTCTCTGCTCTCCTCAAACCTTCCCTCCCCACAGCAAAATCATGTTTAGTTGCTCAAGAGTGCAGTTTTCTATGTGGGGTGGGTAGATAGAGCAATGCATGGACCGGGGGGGAGTACATAGACTCCTCAAAAAAGGGTTGAGGGAGTTTTTAGCACACACTCTCCTTCATAAAAATGATTTGGTGTGTGAACAGACACACACACCGAGTGATCCGGCTTTTAGCCACTTCTCCAAGACACCATATTGAAGCACAGCGAGAGTGTGTTACTGACCCCGACAGTGAGAGAGAAGAGATGGCAAGGATGGTTACCGGAACATGTGCTGTGTGCATCCTGCATCATGAATAAACACAGCGCATCTTCCTCACACACACCTTCCTCTTTACTCTCCTCACTGATGGTCCGATTGGATAACAACCCCCCCTTTTCTATGTTCTTTCCCGGATCGATGAATCACCTCCTTTTCTCACTGGAGCTGTGGGGAGGGTCTCTGACTGGTTGCGGTGACAGGAGGGTGGCGCTTTCTCGCTGCAGTGTGTCACACTGACAGATCCCGAGATGAGATATAGCTGCACGTCAGAGCTTGTTATGTGTGTGTTGTGAATATGTGACTGTGTGTACGTGTGTGTATGTGTACGTTTGATGAGGCTCTGGTCTGACAGCAGACCGAGTCTCAGCTGTGTGCGATGAACCTTTCTCACTGAATCAAGTATTATGAAACTAAACATTAGTACTTTCTTTGTGTACTTTTAAAATTGTTTACTGATTGAATCAAGGTAAATTCTAACACTTTGGATACAGTTCAGTATTTAACTGATGATTAGTAATTTTATAACTTTGAAGAGGAAACAAACTTCATTTAAATATGCAAATTTTACTGTCAAAACTACGACAATTACAAAGTAGCTGCAGTCTACACTCCGCCTGCTTAATCCAGGTTATTGGGGAGCAACTTGAGTAAGACTACAAGCAATACTCACAAACCTACAGTACATGACTGAGCACAAACAGCAGTTGATTATTTTATCTGATCTATTGGCATTAGTGTTTCCCTTTCCTCCATGTACTTATATTGTGTATACTGCTGAAAAACTGAAAAACTCATGTAGCGAACGTCAGAGTTTCTCCCATAACACCTCTCTCCATCTCCATCCTCCGAGCGTACGACCACCAGTAGATTCAGCCATCCATACTCTGAGCCTCAGTTATGTTATTAAACCATTTGTAAAAAGTCCAACCTAAAGCAAAACATAACAAAAAAAGCACATAATATATAAAAAGGGAAAAAAAATACAGATGTAATTGTCACAAACTTAGCACTGGCCCTTCTTGCCTTGCTTTCCTTCCCCTCCTACCTCCCATTCATGAATCTGTCTGCAACCCTGGGCTAGACCATGCACCCTCCATTTGAACCCTGCGCACCCTCCGCTGACCTTTGACCTATCCTGCTCAAGTTTCCAGCCATTCCTGGCCCCTCTCTGCATGTGCCACAGGAGCCTTGCTGCACTGCTTTTACTACTCCATTTGAAGCTTGTCGCATCAGCCGTAGACCCCCGCCCCCTGATCTGATGTCATCTAGGCAGTGTGGCGCTGCCTGGACTGGCTGGAGCTAAGTTGCACATGATGTATGGTTGTATGGGTGTGATGCAAAAGACTCAGAGAGTGAGGGAGAAAATGCCTGTGTGTGTGTGTGTGTGTTCAGAGTTGGTGCAGACACTCACCAAATGCAGCACTGCCTGGATGACATTATGCCTGCCAGCCAACCAACTGTAGAATGCAAAAGCAATGCAAGTGTGGCATGCCTCTGTACCCGGTGTGTGTACGGTGCCTGCCCTAGAAAAGTGTAGAAAAAAGTGAATTGATATATATATACTACATATATATATATAAAAAAAAAAGAAAATAAGCTTCTTCTTTGATATAAACATATAGAAAACAAATATGTGTTTCTTTCTTCGGAAAAAAAAGAAAAAAAGTTGTACCATTTGCATGAAATGTGTCTTTGAATGCAAATATAACTTTTAGGAGAGAAACTCCTAACACATGAATTACAATGGAAAAATGGACTTGTATTTTATTTTATCTTGTTTCTTTTAAAGTAATGGTTTACCTTCTTAATTGTCATGACAAGGGCGTGAAATTAATACCAGCCACAAGCCAGTGCTTGTAAACCTTCACCACTGTATCCGAATCTAAAAGCCTTGCAGAATTGGAAAGTAATCAGATTAATCAGTCACCAGCTGGGGGTCGATTAGCAGTAGATCCTTTCATAAATTGGAGCGGGATTGAAGGAATGTGACTCGAAGTGTGTTCTTCTTTGGTAAGATTTGCTAGATTTTCATTGAGCATTTGAAAGTTAATGATGCAAAAGGAGGAAAAAAGTCCCTGCTAAGTTGATCCTAAAGGAAACACAAGTTAGATGATTTGATTTTAACTGTGCTCAATGCCTAAAATGAAACATGCACACGTTTTCTTCTGCATCTAATTCTGAATTACACTCTCCACAATATTATAGATCATATATAAGGATATTTGTATATTATCCCCATAATGAAGGCAAGACCCTGGACGCTGGGTCCGATGACACTAAGGCTTCTTCTCCTTAACTCTTCCTTAAATTTGAGCCACGAGAAACAACGCACTTGTAAAGGAGGCTCAGCCGCTGGTACGCTTTTATCTTTAAAGTAGCGCCAATTCAAGAAATCCCACTGAAGCACTATAGAGTAAAAAAACGAGGCACAAAGGCACTGAAAGCATCAAACAGTTCTTTCAGATGTTTTCACTGGGCCGACACGTGGAGGATGCCTCACACCACCTTGATGCATCTGCTTTGAACTTGGTTGTTGCTGGAGAGTCAAAAGGGAGCCACACTTTATTTTTTGTGATGTTTCTGGAGCAACAGCTTCTCGGGAATTTCACAGAGTACCAAACACAGAAGTTAGAGCCAAACTACAGCATGAACACTAAAAGCTATGGATCAGACTATAACATTTATTTCACCTCATGTACAATCAGATATCACAGTCAGTGGGACAGAAAACACAGTGGTTATCCCTGCCAGTGTATTCAGGTCCTCCCTGCATGGCTCAGCCCGGTCTTTATCAGACTTGCTTGAGGTTGAGAGCAGGAAGTGGGCCTTCCTGAGGTGGACTGTTAAAAAACGAAATAAAAAAAAAATCCTGTCTAGATCTTGTGGAGGAATGTGAAGTCTGTCGATTCTGAGCCATTTCTGCTGCTGCCAATCTCAGTTTTCTGCCTGATGAAATTTTATAAAGCTCCTTCGTGTATTATCGGAGGAACTATTATCCACATTCATACATATTCTGAACAAAAAGGGGACGGTATTCAAAATGCCTTTGCCAAGGCCTTATGCACTGGAATCAAACACTGGAGTTTAAAAACGCTGTGGACTGCATGACTTGAGGTAGTTGAAGGGTGACTTTGAATTGTAAAAGGCAAAGTGCACTGACTAAAATGCATTTATTTCTAGTCTGAGTAATGTCTGTTTTCTACTTAATGTGAATGCTACACCCTGTGAAGCCTGACCTCCGTGTAAAACTGGTAGAGCATACTTAATGTTAGAATGTAGAGACGGTATGCAGCATCTATCAGAGTGTATATTTAGTTACGCACCGTTACTATGACGTATTTTGCTGATGTACAATCCAAAAACCAATCTCACCGCTGGTTTCTGTTTGTTTTTCCTGTGATTTGTTTGAGTGTAAGCGTGAGCTTTCCTTCCTGAGAAGGTATGCTGCATGGACGCCTCTCCTGCTGGAGAAGGCTCTTTTAGTTCAGAGGGCTTTAAAATGATAACAAAAAGATCACCTAATGCTCTTCTCTGATGGATAAAACAGAGGCACATCTTCAGCATTTATGTATTTATTTATTTTAACTCAAGTGGCCGCTTCAACTTCACGCTAGGTACAAAAACGGTTCCAGTGTCACGATCATGTCACAATATTCATTCAGTTTATCTGCTGGTAAAGGAGCATAGACCTGAAAACTGCACAAATGTACAGATCCTGTGGGTGTGTTGCGTTACTCTGATGCTGCGTGTCCGTGCTCAGCCGCTTTGTGGGCGAACATTCAAAGGCATGAATGTAAACTACCGACATTTTATGTATCTTTTTTTTTTGGTCTGGTTGCTTTTTGAACGAGAATAAGTGTAAAATAACAAAAAACAGAAAATTGGGTCTTTCGTTAGATGACTCAACCTCTCAACATTAGACGTTAGACTTTTTGTGCGATTGTAAATAGCCGCCATCTCTCCCTGCTGCTTATGTATTATTTACTGCAGCCTATCATCCTTGCTGGTTTTAACCGATCCCGATGGAGTTTTTTTTTATTTTAGTCTCGGAAAATGGATGTCGCCTGGACTGTTCCACCTGACGAGGAGGGCGAGGGGCGAGGGAGGAATGTGCCACGTTGGCAATTGACGGCGGGTGGGGTGGGGGAGCTGTGGAGGAGGGTGGAGGAGGCAACAGAGCTCCACAGCATGGACTCCCTCTCTCTCTCTCTACCTCTGGTGAGGACTTTGCTCCACTGTGGAGAGCGCTGAAGGACTCACTCTGGACTGAGGCCACGGGTGCCAAGAACACATGAAGCACTTGTAGCACAACTGTGTCTTGTTTTGCTAATACAGTACAAGGTAGTTTGATTTTTTTTTACCATTTCCTATAAAGAACATGGATAACGTTTCTCCTGTATCATCAACTGTATGTATCATAAAGATATATATATATATACAGGATACCACAATGTAATAGTTCATACTACAACCCAAGGCTATTTTAGGAGGTAGAAATTTGCCCAAGGTGACAGAAACTGCTGCATTTTAAATTCCTCACACAGCTCCATTTTGTTCAACACAGCCCTGTAATTTACTCGTTATTATCTGGAAAACTTCTGCCCACGTGCCATCTAACCAAGCAATAAACACAAGGAGGCAAAAGAACAGAACAATGGCAAGGATTTTATCAAGAAACATGAAATGCTGCATTGATATTTACATGCCCGACACTGTAACAATTAGTATTGTAACATTACCGCTCATTTATGCTGAAGCCTGAGGGGGTGTTTGATTGTAAAATGTTTGGGGTTATTTTTTATTTTCATGTTTCTTTACATACGGGGTGTCAAAGATCTGCTTTTTAAAAGGGGTACCGCTACATATTTGTACAGAAGTCAAAGGGAAATGACACAAAGGGGCTAATGGATGCTAAAAAAAGAGTTCAAGCAGACAGGACCAAAAAAAAAAGATTGTGTAGTCCCACTCTGTAAATGCTTGCTTCTGTAAATCTCTTAACAGAGCTTTTATTCAACCATAAGAACTTTTTGATTAACTCACACCATTTAAACATGCACTGCGACTTCACTTCCTGCAGTCTGTCAGCACAACCGAAGCTAATCAATTAAAACCATGCTGCAGCCGCCGAAATCACTGCTCTCAACTGCGTATCTTACCAGTGATTTTCAAAGGCTTTTTTTTTTAATCTACAATTTATTACCTGTAAAGCTGTAAAGTATATTTTACTGTATATAGCATCTGGGGGTCATTTTTACTCCTTTTTGTAACCACGCTTGTGGATTTAAAAATATATAAAAATATATTTTTAAAATAAGAGAATTGATTCTGCAGTAGTGCAGGTGTCTTAATCTGTGCTACCTCACAAGAGTCACACAGAAGCAGCAGCAGCCACTTTCAGAAGCGCCGCCATTGTGGACTTCCTGTCTGCTTGAACTCTATGGGGTTGTCGTACTGCGAGCCCGAACACTGCAGCTCTTTTAGCTTGTAGCACGCACACACACCAGCCATGACCATGAACATCAGGGGCTCTGGAGCAATCTAGCTATAGTAAGCTGCTGTAATGCAAAGAGGGCTTTCTCTGCCCTGGAGCCCTGTCATTGCTGTTGTCTGTTGCCAGGAAACTGACCACACAAAGCACAGCAGGGGGACTGATATGCAGCCACACTGTGGGGAGGCAGGCAGGTCAACAAGCCCGCCATGATAAAGAAATGGAAGGAGCGTAGATGGATGAGATGGATGGACTTGAAGTAGGGGGGTGGAGGTTAAACAGCATCTGAGGGAACTTTGTACCCGAGGGACCTGAAGGGGATGGAAAAGAGGCCCCTTTTCAAGTAGAACAGCCAGTACACAGCACCGGGGGCCCAGAAGGTTCACATGTATGAGGGAAGGAGGGTTAAAATCCAATCTTGCAACATGATTCTAATGTACATTATTAGACCAAGCATGGTGTGGTGATTTTTGCATATTTATTTATTCCCAGGGAGTTTGAGAAGATGGAGCATGAGATAGACAGAGAGAGAGAGAGAGCAAGACAGTAACACCATGTGACCTCTGTGAGACTGCAGTGGCATTTATTGAGATCTATTAGCTTTCAGTTCCCTTTCTGCCATTCGTTTGGAAGACTTCTGCATCACCACATGGGGATTACTCTTAATATTGTGATTATTAACCCTTTCTTTTATACTGAATACAACTGGAACACTGTATAGATGTAAAGATGGGATTTCTTGCATTATGATGACTGAAACATGGATGTACATATATTGTATCGATTAAAATGATGATGCATTTTACATGGTGCTGGAGTTGTTTTTTCCCCCCAAAGAGAGCAGAGGGGAGGAGAGAAATGAGACAGCAATATTTGAACTGAAGTGACATAAATGTCAGCTGTGGGTGGGTGGGGGATATACTGCAGGTTCTACTTACACACCTCCTGGCAGCGAGGGAGAAGCTCGTCTTCAGAGGGATTTGGGATCGGCTCCTGTTAACGGCACAGGTCACGGAGGTGAAGTTATCATTTAAATGACCACACTCAATAACCTCAATTACATCCTGGAAAAGAGATTAACGTTCAAAGAAGTCTAATTACGTTTTTCATTTTCATTTAATGCCTGACCATTTTAACCTATCAAATCAAAGGTCAAAGCCCAAGTCGGAGTGGAGCAAAAGTGGGATACCAGCACAGTCTGCTGTGCAACTGACACTGCTAAATAAAACACACTCTGGAAAAACAAAGAAGTGTTTGTTTTACCTCCCTCGTGCTTCGAACAACTCCAAAA